CGATTATAATTTGCACTTTGTCTAGACCCACAGGGAAGCTTATTTTGACATAGCATAAAAAACTTGTTTCAATCAAACCACAACCCACAAGTAGGTCCATAAAAAGTTTTTGATTTACTGTCACTTTCTTTGATACCTTGTACGAAACATGACTTTTCAACGCGCCATCCATTTCAGCGTACGGCTGTAAAAAAGCTGTAAAGCCGAGCTAATTTGTCACCGATAAAGCTGTTGTACTACCGATAATAAACCTCGCTACGCTACTACAAAGGAGATCATAAAACGCAATATTAATTACGCACGGCAGGAGCGCAACAAATGTACAAGGAGTATGGTTATTTTTGGGTTGAAGGCGCCCAGAAAGCTGAAGAGAGGTATTTTCTATCTATTATGGTGTAGATTTGTAAATAATAATAAGATTTAAAAAAAAATCTTGATCATTGAGGAATTTTTCTGCAAAATACAGAAATCTAAAAATAATGTAAACCTACTTACTCGTAATATTTAAAATTCAATGCAAACTCGAGTCGTGATTGGCCTAATTTCAATATTTTATTTCTTCTAGAATACGGTCCTTTGTGTAAGTAATTTACTTTGACTATTCCTCAGCCCAATTGCAAATTAAGCCGCTTAATATTTATCTTAACAGTTCATACTTACTTTTTAATTATTTGTTTGCTTTTAATTACCAATTTAAACAAATAAGGTCTCCCACGCTCATTAACGGATAAACAGGCTCTCGCTCGGCTATTGTCTGTATCTAGGTCTTGCTCCGTGTGACGTCATTAACCCACCTGCCAGCCACGGTTAATTGGAAAATTTCTACTTTTAGGAGTTTACAAGTTGTTGGGTTCTTCAATGGCGTTTTATTGCTTCTACTATTTCTTAGTCCGGAAATAACGCCAGTCGGCAAATTTGACTTTACGTAAATACTGTGCTAAATTGAATCCTTGATTCGATAAATATTGAACGTTCGTCGGAAAAAAACTGTTTGCCCAATCATATCAAGATTTGTGTGGAAATAGATTAATGTCAAAACAGAAATGATGTACGAAATTTCAACTCAATAATCGGTTGGCAAAAAACCCATAATTTAAAGCTCTTGGGTGTGGTAGTGTTGCTCCATAAACTGGTTTTAACAATAGAAATGTCAGCTCTAGGATTAACTTACTTTACTTGACTTTTATGAAAAAAGAGCTAATTCAGATTTGTAACACAATTTCCGTTCCAGTTTTTCTCTAGGTCATTAAATGTTACTGATAAGTTTATATCCGTTTTTGGTGAAATTTTCTTTCAGTTTTTTTTGTGCCGACGCACTATGGAGCGAAATTGAGATTTATGGACATAGCGATTTTTTTCACAATTTCTATTTGAAAAAAATACCTATCGATAGGTTACGTTATTCTGATGAATAAATGCTTCACAAGTTTTTCTCTAAAACCAATAGTTTGACTGGAAAAAAATATTTTCCATTTTCGTTGTATGGAATGAAACATAAAGTGGTCGATTTCGACTAAGCCTTGACAGATCTTGCTTTGAAACTACTTAAGCCTTGTTCTATGGCTTGTTGACTGTAATCCTACGCTATCAGCGCGCATCCAAAGTTGCCCGTTCACAAGTTATGAGGTTCTGAAAAATTAAAAAAAAGTAAGTAAAAGTGACTTTTTTTTTATTCCAAAAAAAAGTCACTTTTACTTACTTTTTTTAAATTTTTCAGAACCTCATAACTTGTGAACGGGCAACTTTGGATGCGCGCTGATAGCGTAGGATTACAGTCAACAAGCCATAGAACAAGGCTTAAGTAGTTTCAAAGCAAGATCTGTCAAGGCTTAGTCGAAATCGACCACTTTATGTTTCATTCCATACAACGAAAATGGAAAATATTTTTTTCCAGTCAAACTATTGGTTTTAGAGAAAAACTTGTGAAGCATTTATTCATCAGAATAACGTAACCTATCGATAGGTATTTTTTTCAAATAGAAATTGTGAAAAAAATCGCTATGTCCATAAATCTCAATTTCGCTCCATAGTGCGACGCTAGTTACAATGTCTAAGCGTGAGTCGTGGTCGTTACTCTGACTTTTACTCTGGTTTGTAGCTGTAACAGGCGCTGGATTTGATAAAAACATAGTTAGATAAAGCCTTGATATTAAACATTGTTTCTAACACGCACAACCTTTTTCGTGTTGCCTTCATTATCTTTGACATCGTCCTATCAAATAATTTGTAGGCAAAATGTGTTAGTTTCTGACTCATTCATTACTTGTTATGTTATTAAGATAGATCATGGTTCAAACACCCACTTGTTAAATCGATAACAGAAATATCATCCAAAGTACGACGTGTAACGTATTACGGTAATTTACAAAATATTGAAACAGCTTTCAACATCAAATAGTATACAATATAATACCGATAGAATTTGATATTTTAACGGTAATCTGAAACTGCGGTCATTAGTTCTAACGGACACTTTATGTAGGACCTTGCCGATTTAATCGGTAATTTTCAGTGGTTAAGTACCTTGTAAAAACTGATTTTTCAGTGCTTACCTATTGTAGGTACTCGTAAATCTGTTTTAGTTTAAATAGTTCTAACGAAAGAAACATTGGGTCGAGGACGTAAGCACTGACAAAAACCAGAATAGTACCGTAAACAAACCAGGTAAAATGCACTGATAGTAGATACCTTATTTTCTGGCGTGGAATAGTTACTTTTGTATATTTTTTCAGTTGGGCGGTCGAGTCATGGTTAAAATGTTTGAATGTAAAGATCTATGTTCCAAATAACTGAGCACTTCGAGATCTGTGTTTTCTTACGGTTAACTTGATTTATATTGCATTTTCAGTTTCTTCGCGTTGCCTTTCGTAATGGTGTTTTCATAAATCTTTTGCTCATTTCCTGAAATATTCGTATGTTATGTTTCCAGCACTAATGTGAAGAATGTTGTTGCTAATAGCTGATGATAGCGTAAACAAAACTTTTCCATGCCATTTAGAGTTGTAGTTATTATTTATTCATATTTAGAAATATTTAATGAACTACTAACGAGAAACCAATCATCACAATTTGTGTCCTCGAATTAAATGAATTAAATTATTCCAGTACATTAACGATATGCAAATTGGTCTTCAAATGAAACAAAATCCATTAGCAAATACAATTGTTCCCATAAAGCGAACGCTGAAATTGAAAATTATTTCACGTGTATGTGCAAAATGCAACGTACAGTCGCAGAATGAAAAGGTTCGTCACCTTAGTGTCGGTTTTCGTTTGCATTAGGTACTGTGTAAGAGTCAAACCTGCCAACATAACAGTGCAAAAAACAGTGCTGCTAACATTTAAATAAATATGACGTTTGCAAACGAATAAGGTTTTGCTTGTTTATTTTTCTATTCCATCAGTGCAATGCAATGATGACATCACCAATTGACAATAGTTTTTTTTATTTAATAGAAATAATAATGGCAGGTTGAACCAACAAGAAGGTTTTAGTATATCAATCATATTTAATCTTCTTGACAAGATAAATGGTCAAACAACTTTGATCTGAATAATTTTGAACTTTACTGACGAACAGTTAAAGATTATTTTCTCTAACTCGAGATTATTCTGTAACATAGTTTCAAAAGGTAATATATGTGCTCGCGATTCGTTGAAGGAATCAATTTGGAAACTGACGAACCTTTTCATTCCGTGACTGTACAATGCAGCTTCGTATTACGTATTTATGTACATCCGTATATCGCCTCTACAGCTGGGGATATCAGTTGCAGTTGGCAGAAATTGGTAGTAAGGATAGGTAAGGATGATAAGGCAATTTTCGAAAGATTATACATAATTCATGCTTTGCTAATACATAATCATACTATCTTTATGACCGAGTTTTCCTTGAAATACACCTAAATTATTGTTTAAAAGCTACATTCATTATTTTCGAAAAAAAAGAAAGAAAAGAAAAACTAAAGTACAGATGTGTGAACAACTGAAAACTGGAATAGTTATTGGGGGTTTTGAATTTATATTGCTTTAAGTATTTTAATGTGAACATAATTTTTCTACTGAAAACTCATAGATAGAGAAAGAGATAAATGTCAGTTACAAGAAATATACGTAGGTAGTGAAAGGCGGTATAATCTAGATGCTAACTCTAAACGTGCTTAGAAAAGATGGAAGATCTTGTATAACCGGTTACGCAACCTAAATAATGTCGATAAAAAGATATTTTCGCAAAAAATAGGCATCCCTAGACATCCAGTCGCTGCCAGCCGGCGGAACGACCCGCCTGGAAGGAATCGAGCCGCAGCGAACGTGCAACTACTTATCAATTGCAAGCTGTTCTCCTATTGCCTCCATATTTTATATTTAGCGAAGTTTTATTTACGTTTCCTTTGGCTGTTTTATTGAGGCCCGCTGTGTTCTAGCAGTCTAGTTAGTAAATGTTTATACGGAGGCGTTAAGGTACTGCGATCGCCTACCTAAACGCCTCCGTATCAATGTCAGGATTTAGGGATTGAGCGGGATCTCCCAATCCATCTTAATTAAAGGAAAAACAGGTTGCCAACCGCGTGCGAATGGAGAAGATCTACAAATCATGACTGATTAAATATCCCTTGAGCTTTTGGATTAGGGCAAATCGTACTAGTTCGCCGGGCTAGTATTATACATATTATCTGTGGCCGGGGGATAGCTTTAATTCGAACTATGTATGTATTTAGGTCTGGCTCACTATTTAATTGCTGTTGATTGACATGAAAAATAAAAAAAATGATTAAAATAAGTTTTCTTCATAGTCTTATGAATGCTAGTATTTTTCTATAATAGATACTTTTTTGCAGTTCCGAAAATTTTGTTATGCGGCCTGTATCGTTCCAAAAAAAAAAAGTATTATCATAAAATGGGCTTAATAGCAACTTTTTCTTAACCAAAGGTGTTGTGATAATCTTCCATGTGGCCAGTATTTTTCAGCCGAAATATTAAAAATAAAACCTTTTTTCCAGTTCCGTGGTAGAAGCAACTGACGTGCAACTGAACATGCGCGTGGGCATCCATACGGGGCGCGTGCTTTGCGGCGTGTTAGGGCTCCGCAAGTGGCAGTACGACGTGTGGTCCAATGACGTCACGCTCGCCAACAACATGGAAGCGGGTGGGGAACCAGGGTACGCTGTTTTGAATAAATTTTTATTTTTTGTCTACGTAAAGGCATCGATGATGCTTTGATTAAATCCGTGATAGTAAATTAGTTTTTTATCTGTAAGACTATATTCAAATAAACTGAATGTGTGATTTTGTTTTTAAAATGTGCCTATATCGATGGGGACATGTCATTGGAATAATTTATTCAAAGAAATTCACTTAGCCAATTAAACTGCTAAAAATTCACTTTTCGACGGCTCATTGAACAGAAAATTAAATAGAAAAAAGTACTTGTTAAGATTTATAATATGACATGGCATGGTCATCTAATGATGCAACATTTTATAATTACAATCAGGTGGAAATTCCCTGGGCAGAAAGACTTTTCTTAACCTTTTATAACGTGTGGATTTCAGTCGAGTGCACATAACGCAAGCGACCCTGGAGTGTCTCGGAGGAGCATACGAGGTGGAGCCAGGCCACGGCTCCAACCGCAACGCGTACCTGCGCGACCACTCAGTGCAGACCTACTTCATCATCCCCCCGCCCCGCCGCAGAAAAGTTAGTCGCAACACCACGCCCCTCTGTAGCAGTCGTGTGAAACCTTGTAAACCCCCCCTCTACTCCGAAGTAGTATTAATCTGACAATATCTAACGTATCAAGCTTAATGCACAAAGTAGATATTCTCAACAGCTTTCTCTTTCCAAAATAAAGATGACGCAGACCCTAAAACGAAGATAGCCATTGAAGTGGTTAAGCCACTTTAGCTGACCCAATTTGCCTGGAAAACGTTTCAGTTGCAGTAATGGGAATTTTATTCACTGTAATTACTTTAAATATCTAAGTTACGTTCCAGATTTAAATCAGGAATATAGCTGTTGAGAAAGCAGTAAGCTCGACCACGACCCACGTCGATGAAGATTTTATTTGACAGGCACTCGAGTTGACGAGGCTACCGTGCCCGTAGGCGTCTAATGTATTTTGTTAATTTTATCATTTCTAGATGTGCCTATCATCAGGCGTCGGGCTCGGCTCAGGATCTCGGCGCAAGCTCTCTTTCAAAAACGTGTCGAACGTTGTCGTTCAGCTGCTCCACTCCATCAAGTTCAACGTCGACGTTCCCTTTTCCAACATGGCCGCCTCGCCACAGGAACTCAAGGCTAACGCCGCGAGGAAGGTACGACCACACTCTAACTCAACAGATGTGTTATCGAATATTTTTCACTTGGGAATGCTTATGCTGAAGGTTGCTCGATATACGACAACCTATAATAATGTATAATATTCGCGATAATTCGTCAACAAATATCAAAATAAAAGATTGTAGCTTTAAGACAATTTAAAGAGCACTTGACGTTTCGCATAGCATACTTGTGTGACATGGCTAAACAGTACAAAGCACATGTCTCGGCTTTTCTTACTTTTCTGAACATTCCGCTCGAGTGATTTTATTTCTCAGTCTGGTTGTCCACTTCCGTCTCGAAAAGGTAAGCTTTCTTTATTTTATTTCGTGAGATCCATTACTTGTGCTGTCCCGTGTTTTAACGTTTTCCATGTCAGTGTTCGTCGATACGTGTCGGTGTAGACTGGAAATACATTGTTATTTTGGCGAGTGTCAATGTTTGAAATGACTGCGTTCGAATGTTCGATGTGCATTTGTTTAAACAAGCCGTTCTAAATATTTTGAATTTGGAAACATTAACACTGGCCGCGAATAGGTGAGCGTCGCCTTCTCGGGGCGAGATGGTGACTGGATGTGGTGTGGCAGGTGCTGGACCTGCGGCGCGCGCTGCACGCGGAGCCGGGCTCGGCGGAGGCGCTGCGGCTGGCGTCGCTGCGCGCGGAAGACGTGAGCGCCGCGCTGGACGCGCCCACCCCCCCCGCGCACCCCGCCTCCGCCCCGCACCACCACACCTTCGACGCCGTCATGCAGCATCACGCCCTCCGCACGCAACCCACGGTCGACACGGCCCGCACGCGCTGTTTATCTGTGCCACGTCACGGACTCCATGACACCTCATCGGTTCAATTGGGCTTCAGTTACAATCATACCATTGGGATTGCCGGATCATAGGTTCCATCGCTGCTGCTTATAGGCGATTCATTACCATCATCACTGAAACCGGCTTAGTAAATACCAAACAATTATTCAAAATATCCAAAAGATCGTGACACTGCACAGATAAAACAGTATTTACGTGCGCGATAGTTTATAAGAGCTTACACACAGTTTTTATATTAATTAGCGTGTTTTATTAATCTGTGTGCGAGTTCTAATTGCACTCTAGGGCTGATATAGAATATGGTTCGCAACTAGGTCTAGTTTTAGGCGCCGAACGAAACCATATTGCTACTTCGCCCGTGTTATGATTTTGGCTTCAGAAAACTTATGAATGATGATACGCAACGACTGCGATGCCGAGCATTAAGAAATATATAACCTCGCTTAATGGTTTCCTAGTAGTTAGTTGGTTTTTGAGTGGTGGTTTTTGAACTAAATCTATTCTGCTTTCTCTTGAAATGTGAGGAGTGCACGGAGCTTCGTGTTTGACTCGCAATAGCAAATCGATTTGTTTCACACTTGAGATTCTGTTTACAAACTTGTTTACGTAATGTCTTAAGATATCACAATAGATCACTGTCCTGTTTAAACACGATTAGTTCAAAGTTTATGTGTCAGCACAAAATTCTTCTCAGTGTTCCCTTGATTCTTTCATTTTAGTTGCTGGTATTCCAAGCTTTCACTCACTGTTACACAATTGATTTTGACTTAATAATGGATATTCTTTTGGTAAATAGCCATAATATGGCTCGATTAAAATCTCTTTTGGAACTTTATATCAAGGGATGAATAGAAGATTTTGATAAAATAGTTTAGTAAAGCAATAAATAGTATTTTACTCCTTATCTTCCCGGAACATTGTGTGGAAGACCCAAATACACCAGCAACTAATATGAGACGTCTGCTCATTGTTTTTCAGATATTCCGACCTTGGACATTATTTCCACAACAAATACCCGCTGAAACCGTAAGCGCAGACCAAATGTTGTTCATGTGTATTATTGTTTTCCACTCTATCACCGGGCAATACACTTCGTTTCCCCAACTGTCGTAGGTACGCATTACCTCTTCGACACACCTAATCGCGAGTGCAGAATCGCAGACGTTAGCCCAATTCACTTAGTATATAATCAGGTGAAACTATGTTTACTTATAAAGCGGGAGCACTCAAAACCATTCACCGTCACTTTCTGTTATTGGAATTATTTTAATTTCAAAATTGTTACACTGTTACTATGATTGTTTGATTTTGTTTGAGAATAAAGCCGAACGCACCGAAATGTGTTTCACTCGCTGTCCCAACTAGCTACCTCGTGCACAGCATGGCATGACTCCTCCGCTGACTAACTTGCATGGACCCGCCTCTGATTAACTTCTAATATAGTTTCACTGCCGTATGTGAACATTCTGATGGTCTACGGAAGGCAGAAGGAGTAGGTAAAATAAATACTTTTTATTACCTTGTTACACTTCCTGGATCCGAAGACTTTCAATATCATATCACTTACGGCAGTCAAGCTAATATTAACATAATGCTGTCAATTTCGTTTTGTGATTGATCATTTCGTCTTTTGTTATTTAATATAAAAAAACTACAATAAAAAACAAATGATCAATCACAAAACTCTAGTTTTAAGACTTGTTTTAGATATTGTCTCAGAACATTACTAAAATACCTTTGCTGTAACTTTGTTGAACATAAATAATAATAGCCCAGTAATAAGTAACGATAGACCCTCATAAACTTCAGTATCTGTACAATAAATATCTTTGTTTCAATGTATGTTCTATTATACTACTTCTACTAATGTAATGCTGCTTCGGAGACCGGAACTTTTTGATTCTAAGGTCAGTTCGAAATTTCTGTTTGGAGCATGGCGTCAGCATGCGGTGGACCCAATGTGACCCCGCCCTCACCTCAGTTGGTACCCCTTCTTTTTCGTTGTTTCCACAATCGTTATACGTTACCCTGTAATTATCCTTCTGTGTCCGATGAATATTGGTGTTCCCTTTGATGTGAGGATCCAAGTCAGTCGTTTTGAACTACGTTGTGTATTTCCACAGAATAAAGTAACGGAGAAGTTCAAGCGGCCTCTGAAAAAGCGTCACTCGTCTGTGTACCACCAGCCCACCAACCGCGTCAACAAGTACCTGGCGCAGGCCATCGACGCGCGCTCCGTGCACCGCGAGAAGGCCACACACGTGCATCTGCTGACGCTCTGCTTCAAGGACAGTGCCAAAGAGGCGCAGGTAACTGACCAGCCACTGCAACAGCGTGTTTATATTTTTACTGTGACTTGGAAGATACCACCAAGTTGTGGTGACCATACCGGCGATTAAGCCAGTTTTCCCAGAGAAAACCTGACTCGTAGCTGGAAAGTTTTTTCGTCGGCGTGTCGATCCAAATTATAAACACAGAGGTTACGACGCTAATTTGATACCACAAGTTAAAAGCGCAGTTATTGTGACCATACCGTCGATGTAGCCAGTTTGGCCAAAAAAAAACTCTCCACCCGTAGCTTGAAAGTTTTTTCGTCGTCGTGTCGAGTCAAATTACAAACACAGAGGTCACGACGCTAACTTGATGCCACAAGTTAAAAGCGCAGTTGTGGTGACCATGCCGGCGATGTAGCCAGTTTACCCAGAAACAACCTGAAAACTGGTAACTTGAAAGTTTTTTCATCGTCGTGTCAAGTCAAATTAGAAACACAGAGGTTACTCCGCTAACTCTTCTGAGGCAGTCCTTTGACTTTATTTTCCAGTATCGAGCATCAACTGATGGCGGCTGGGCGGGTTCTCTGGGCGCGGCCCTAGGTGCGTTAGTCGCGGCAGGGGCGCTGCAAGCGGCTATCCTCCCTCGCACCACCATCGTCCTGCTGCTCTTCGTGACAGCCTTCGCGTGGTCAGCAGCGGTGCTGGCGCTGACGCTAGCTGCGAAACTGCGCCTCGTGCCGTGTGACGTGTCCAGACCGTTCGCTCTGCGGAACGCTATCACGACGTTTACTATAGTGCTGGGATATGCCGTTGGGCAGGCGAATGTGGTGAGTAAATCAATGCTATTCTTGTTGCTTAATAATGAATGGATTACAAGCCGTTGTAGTATAAAAAAATCACTATAAACGACAGCCATTTAACGAGAATTATTTAGACTGATGTGGGTTGTGCTCTTGAAGGAAACAATATTTTTTCTTAGACAATTCATCAATACCTTAATAATATATTCTACCAACTTTAAATCCCACGATAGACTCACAGTCTTCGTTTGTTAACCGCCTAGAAAAATATCAGCAGCAAAACCTTTATGAAGAGACTAATAACTAACAACTCTGCCTGCTTTACCTACGTATTTAAATAAAACATTTCCATCTCCACCCTTTCAGGTGACATGCGAAGAGGTGGCCGTATGTAAAAACCTGACTGCAAACGTGACGACGATGGCCGAAATCCGTCAGTTGAGCGGTGACGTAGCTGCTGCCTTATGGAGTAGCAATGACCATCGGGCCTGCCCTATACCGCTATACATTACTCTCGGCTGTTGCCTCACTATGCTGACTGTAGCGGTCTTCTTGAGACTGCCTATCTTGGTTAAAGGAGTGCTGTTAGCATTGATCACAGCGACCTATATGACCGTGATCATGGCGTACCATAAGGACTTGTTCGACTGCTACGACATGATAACTGAGTGAGTATGTCGCCGTTTCTGTTTTGTTTTTATGAGCATGTTGATAACCGATTACTGAAGGAGATGTCGCAATTTATAATTTTATGAGCTGTCGTAGGCTAATGACATGGCTTGAGCAGTTTGATAGCTTTATGTATAGTACACTATAAATTACGAAAAAGTACTTATTTTCTGATAACTTTGGTTGATTATTGAATTCGGAAGATATTTAAGTCACGAGAATCAAGCTCTTATCAAGTTGTTAGTTTTATTGGTGTAGTCGCCAGCACATGAGATATTTTTATAGCAGTATAACGTCATAACATACTCTAGCTTAGCTTGATATGTGTACATAGAAGTCTGGTCTCTATAGGTCTCTCTATCCCGTACCTCAGCGCCTACGGGAGAGGCGGCATAGACATAATATTATGACGTGACATAGCATACAAATCTGAAACACATTTGAAATTTCACTGACGTTTGACGTCCCAAAACCTCACGGGCTGCTCCCATACCTCAAGCACTGCCTGAGATCAGGCCTGACTCACTCCGCGCGGTACATCCGATAATTACCTACAGCGAAGCGCCCCGCCGGCGGGTATTATATCAGTCGAGTGTCACGCGCGCGCCCGTCAGGACGCTGGCGTGCGTTGTAGTACCTAATTCTATGATCGAAGTATTATTTAAAAATGGACATAAAGAGAAAGAAATATTATTGTGCGGCGTTCGGGTGTTTAAATTCGAAAAGAAATCTACCGGATTTATCTTTTTTTTCGCTTCCCAAAGATGCTGAAAGGTATGTTGGCCATGTAGGTAATCAATAATTCTTAGGATAGTATAGGAACCTAACTTACCATGACTACTGCTCAGAATGCGTTCGTTCGTTTCAGCCAATTAATGACGTCCACTGCTGGACAAAGGCCTCTCCCAAGGTTTTCCATAATGAATGCGTACTTACCTACATACGTACCTCATTACAAATAAGTAGATAAATTATTTTTTTACTAGACACTACTAGACAGCAACCCTAACAGCGTAAGAAGAGTTCAGAGGCACGCGATAGAAAGAGACAAAACTTGTAGGTGAATAAAATTGTAGGTACGTAGTGCTGTGCGAGCTGAATTCCACTGTATCGCGTCGTAGCAAGACTCGCATTTATTTAAATCGTCTTGCGGAGTAATCCTTCTGTACCTGTACTATTACTTATTCTGTGCTGAGATAAGACCTATAGCTTACCTTGATGTGTGTACATAGAAGTATTTGTTTAAATTAACCGTTATCTCCGCAGCCCTGGCGGACCCGTAGGATCGGCTTACAGCGCATCGGCGTGGGCGCTAGCATTGGCATTGGCCGTGCTATTGCACGCGCGGCAGACGGAATGGACGGCGCGTTTAGACTTCCTATGGCAAGCGCAAGCGCGTGATGAGAAGAGAGACATGGATGCCTTACAGGTATGATTGAAAAGTTTGATGTCTTAAACATAATGTTTAACCCTCTACGAACGAAAATCGACGGGTGATATAAGTGACGTGTCTGTCTATAATAATAAAATAATATAATAATAATAATAATAAAATTGTTTATTTTCACACCTTATAGGGCTTATACATTTCATCTAAAGTTACAATTAGAATTAAACATACATTATGAAGGAACAGAGAATGGTGTGACTGGAGCCTAATGTAGGGCAGCCCTGTATTTCAGGACTCCAGGTCCCACCCGTGAGGTTGAATGTATACAATGAGAAGACATGAGCAGTGAAAAGACATGAATACAATAAAGACATGAATACAATACACTGCAAAGATATTCCGTTACGAAAAATAAAGATGACGACATTTGCTCCATTGTGTGTGTGTGTGTGTGTGTGTGGTGTGTGTGTGTGTGTGTGTGTGTGTGTGTGTGTGTGTGTGTGTGTGTGTGTGTGCGTGTGTGTGTGTGTGTGTGTCTTTATAAGAAATTATATGGCTGTTGCAAATAGGGCTTCTGTTTGAGTGTAGTCCTGTTGAAGTAGCCACCTTATCAAAAGCAATTTACAGTCAAATCTTGGTTTGTCGTAGAAATTAAGTACTACATTTATTTTATCATAGAGATACGGTGCTAAGTAATATAGTTGGCGTTTAATGAATGTTGAACGGGGAAGAATTGCCGAGCATACCTTGTCAGGCCTACGCTTATGCGGTTTTTTATTAGTTCTCCTGGGTTCGTATACGAGCGCAGAGTGCTGAAGAAGAATAGAATGTAGTACGAACAGCTGTCTGATTGAAAGAATTTTGCATTCCTGGTAAAGTTGGGTGGTTGGATAACGACGAGATTTTTTCATCATAACCTTGAGAATTGACCTCTGAGCCCGTTCGAGTTTGATGATTATAGTTTTACATGCTCCTCCCCATGCTGCGATGCAATAGCTCAAAACAGACTGTGCAAGCGCATAATAAACACATTTTAAAGAATGGGGATTAAGTACATTTCTAAGCTTATAAAACATATAAATCAATTTCCGGGTACGTGAAGACAGACTTGCAATTTGAGCATCCCATGACATAGTTTCATCAAGTAGAACACCGAGATACCTAATGTCGTTTACCCGTTCCAGAGCGACACAGTCACACAATGACTGTCCCACAGTTCTGTTACAAGTGTGCGCCCTAACACTGAAAGTTGAGCTAGGTTTTGTCGATCGTCTAAGGCAGAAGGTTATAAACTTAGACTTCAGGACATTGAGAGTCAGCTGATTCATTCGTAGCCAAGTTACTATATGTTTAAGACCATTTTCAGCGTTCTGTTTAGCTATAGCCCAAGTCTCGCCCTTGAATATGAGTGCAGTATCATCAGCGTACGAAAAAATACTTCCATTGGTTGGTTTGTAATGACATAGTTCATTTATGTAAACAAGGAAGAGACTCGGGCCTAACACACTTCCCTGGGGGACTCCACAGGTGACGGGTAAATCAATGCTTTTGAGGGGGCCTATACTTACCAATTGTCTCCTGCTCGACAAAAAATCCTCAAAAAGCCTAAGAGGGACACCCCGGATACCGGCACACTCAAGCTTCTCGAGAAGAATTTTAGTGGACACGGTGTCGAAAGCCTTCGCCAGGTCTAGAAAAATACCGATGCACTTCTCTCTACCATCCAGAGTCCTCGTCACCGTGTTCACAAGCTGTGTAACTGCGTCTTCTGTCGATTTCTTAGGTTGAAAACCATATTGAGATTTCGATAACAGGTCTTCCTGCCTTAGGTATTTCATCAGGCGTATATTTATTAGTTTTTCAAGAATCTTCGACAAAGCAGGTAAGACTGATATAGGGCGATAGTTATTGACAGAGTCTTTAGCGCCTCCTTTGTGGATGGGATGAATAATGGAAACCTTTAAACAATCAGGAAAAACACCCATGTCAAAGCAGATATTGAAGATATGAGACAGGATTGGGACTACAGTATTTCTTATACCTTTAAGAAACGTTGCCGGTATACCATCTGATCCAGTAGCAGCATCGCTTCTCAAGCTATGTATAAGATCAGAGATCTCTTCATCATACGTTGGCAGTAAAACAAACGATCTCGTATGTCTAGGGCTTCCAATTTCAGTACTCAAATCAGTTGCTTCCGTACTAGTCACTATTTTGTCAGCGAGTTTCCTACCTATGTTGGCAAAAAAGTTGTTCACATCATTAATGGAAGCTTGGGGACCGTCTGGATGAGTCGTCAATAGTTCTTCAGCTGAATTTAACTCCTTATTTGTATTAGTAATTTTTCTTATCGCCTTCCAAGTTTGTTTTGGATTTTTACAATTGTTTATGAGCGATCTTTCATAATCATTTTTTAACCGCGACAGTAAATCGTTACAGAAATTTCTATAGCGTTTATATGATGTTTTAAGAATTTCATTGCCATTGGAGATCTTAACCTTCTTATAGAGATAATCTCTATGAGCTATGCATCTTAGTAAGCCTTGTGTAATCCAGGGTTTGATTACCTGTTTTCTATTTGGGACCTTTTTCTTAGTAGTATTTCTGTCGAGAGATTGTTTAAGATGGGCTATCAAACTTTCCGTGGCTAAGTTGGGATCATTAATTCCAAGTATGTATGAAATGTCCTCGTTATTTATTTCTTTAATTGCATTGCTATAGTTAGTGACAAGTTTGGTTTTCGGAGACTTTATTTTACTTACTTTTTCGTTTAGATTTAACAAAACTGGTAGGTGATCGGTTATTTGTGTATTTACAATATAGGTGTTAGAATCTAAGTTAGTTCTAATTATGGCATGGTCAAGACAATTTCCTTCCCTAGTGGGTTGCGTATGTGCTGGTAGTAATCCGTTTTCTGCTATAGTGTTCAAATAATCTTCACTCCGTCGGTCATTATTGTTAGGCTTGATATCTATATTAATATCACCCATGACAAGTAAAGTTTTGTAATTAGATAGTGACTTTAAGTTGTTGTCAAGTGATGTAAGGAATGGGTCTAAGTTAAGAAATGATGGTGATCTGTAGATGCCCAAGACCGCGATGTCATTTTTTATTTTAATTAGAAGGGCATTGGCATCATCAAGTGCAATTTCCTCGACCTTATACAAAATATCATTATAGACATAAATGACTACCCCGTCGTTTTGATTGCGGGTAACTAGAGAATAGTGTGAGTTGTAGTTTTCAATTTGCGGTATGGGTTTATTATCCGATAGCCAACATTCAGTGAGTATTAAAATATCGCATCTAAAATCTAATTTATTAAGAAAGATTAGGAATTCATCCAAATTCCGGTAGACGCTTCTAATGTTCATTGTAACAATCTTTAAACTGGTTGGGGTGAACTGAAGGGAGTTTTTGCAAGCTTCTGGATCCAATAGAAGAGAGTTTGAAACGGCCAAACCATCAAGTTCAGAACCAATATTGTCAATATCCACGACGAACAAGAGGTATACAGGGATAGCTATGGGTTCTGGGAGGTTTTATAGTTATGAGATAGACAAATGTCATAAATGTTAATATCATTCCATGGTAGTGTAAATTACATTGGCGATACAATATTCGAATAACATATATATTGTAGGATGGTACGAGTGTAGATAGTGTAGAAGAGGTACTGTAAATGTATCGCATGTTTGTGTGCATGTAAATATGTATGTGTATGTATATATGTGTGTATATATGTGTGTATATTTGTGTGTATATATGTGTGTATATATGTGTGTGTATATGTAAGAATGATGAGAGTATTGCGTTATATGTTGGATAAAGTGAATGCAAGTAAACAATCATGAGCAGAGCAAATACATACGTCACAAATATTAGTCATTTTGCAGCCAATACGATGAGGTCCTCTTCCTTGCTGATTTTTATAACCTTACTGCCATTTTCCTTGCGAAGAAATATATTCGCGTGTTTGGTCCAGCAATACTGATAGTTATTTTCGGAGGCATATTTCCTGGTCTGAGCGTACAATCTTTTAGTGTTTGCTGGGAGACTTTCTGACAGATATATTGTCGTTGGTGGGCCATGATAGTTAATATGTGTAGTATTTAGGTTTGTTCCTTTGGATCTTCTAAACTGCTTAGCTGACTCCAATAACTGTTCCTTTTTTAGGACAGTGGTAAATTCAACGATAACTGGTAACTTTGCAGACGTCTTAGATTCATAACGAAACAAGTCCTTGATGTCGTTCAATTCTATTTCCACATTTATAGCACTCCCAATGGAAGTCACCACCTTCAATAAGTCATCCTTAGTCTCAGGGCTTTTCTGTGGGAGGTTGCGAATTTCAATGCTTGTACTTCTGCTAGAACGTTCAAGGAAACTTACTCGAGATTCCAATTCTTTTATATATACGAGGTTTTTTTTTCGTTCGGTTTCACTTTTATCAAGTTGTAGCCGTAGATCATCGTATTTCTCGGACATGAAGTTTAGGGACTTAGAGATATCCGCGTACTGTTGTTTTATTTCACTCATAGTGGAGCGAAGAGTGTCAAACTGTCGATCTTGATAATCCCTATTTTGTGACATCATTTTTCTCATTTCGGCCATAAAACTTTTCAATTCATCCTCAATAACGTCACCCCTTTTCCTTTTATCATATCTGAATGTTATATTATCCTTATTCATCGAGTCAGAAAGTTGAGAATCCATAATTTCTGTTAAATCCGGCGCCGAGCTACTTGATTCCTTACACGGTGAGCGCATTACCGACATATTTGTAAGTATTTGTTGTTAAAATATTAAAATCAAATATTACTTGAGCCGGGAGGTCTTCTTATGTTTGATGCGATCGACGATTTCACAATAATTCACTTTCCGTCCAGTGTATCTTGAGCTGGGTTCAGTGTTAAATGGCTGCGATCGAGGGTTGGGAGCAATTTGCCTTTCCGTCCAGTGTAGGATGACCTCCGCTCGTTTAAACTGACGTTATAGATTGCAGTAAGAAACACGACCGAACACCTCGGTTACCCACGGGCGAGATAAGATTGTTAATAGGTCGAAATGCAAATATTCCGTCAGTACAAGCTTGTTTAGATGAAATTCCAGGTGTAAGTCAGGTAGATGAAAATATAGATGTCAGGGCTGACCGAGAGATGGCAAATAGGCGACTGATGGTAGTCGCTGAGAAATTTAAACAAAGATTCGATACTGTAAGACGTAATAATAGGTCATACGGCACGGGTGATTTAGTGTACGTATCCCAAGACCATAGGCGTAATGATAAATTAAGTCCTAAATTTAAAGGGCCGTATGAAATTATTAACACTCTCCCAAATGACCGGTACTCATTGCAAGGGATAGGGAATGTAAGAAATATTATTATTGCTAAAGATAAACTTAGATTATGGCCCGGGGAATGGGTAGACGAAGATGCTGCTGTTGAGGATGCTCTCCAACCTTAGTATTGTGTTTGTTGTTTTTATATTGATTTTTGATTCAAATATAGGCTGATTATAAAATAAGAGATATATTTAATAAAATATANGGGCGAAACCCTAAACCCTATGGCATCGTAGCTCCTAAACGAATAGACCTTATAACAAAAATGGAAGATATTGCATGTGATTACGTTACTATGGAAACATTTAGAGACCCTTATGCCTTCCCCTTTTTGTTTTAAACTAAGGAATGGACCTTTGGTTAGGTTTGTTTGTTTTAAAAAAAATAGCAAGCCACGATTGACTAATTTCTTTGGTTAATTTATCTAAGAAAGAACAGAAAAATCATAGTATCTCGTTTGCAAAGTCTTACCATTATGTTTTCAGGCGTCCAACAGAAGAATTCTGTTCAACCTTCTGCCAGCTCATGTGGCTACACACTTCTTGGACAACCAATTCAGGACAAACATGGTAACTTACTGGGCCTGGTCAATGACCAGTGGTCATTTCTCCTTTTATTTTAAACATAATTATGAATTACCAAAATTATTCGGCTTGAGGTGATTTTTTAAACCTGCGAATATCTTCATTAGCTTGTTGTTTAAAGAATCGACCTCTAGCCGAGATCGCTTATAAATGTGCGAAGCTTCTATTTTTGCGCTTTGCTCTACCAAGTTTAACATCTGCATGAGATCACACTAACACGACCATACTCATTCATTACTTGCTTCATTCGCAATAAATTGTGAGATTCGTCACGCATCGCATTCGTCACTCGCCTCAGCCGTCACATTCCGCTTATTGTCCGCATTTTGCATAAAAAATGGGGTTAAGTGACAGATAAATTTAAATTTCAATACATGTAAATTTCTTAAGACTTAAAAAATCTTTTCTATCTTGCCAAAATATCACATTTTCAATCCAATTTCTACAAATGCACCGTAAATTGAATTCCAACTGAATCACTCAGTCAATAAAAAATGAAACTCATAAGTTGGTCTCTGGGTGAAGAAAAACGATGCGCCCTTGCATCTACAATAATCTACATGCAGTGTTAAATAAATAAACAAAAGATCATCAATAGAATATAACAAGAACTTAGCCATAGATCACAGAAAACAAAAGCCGTTCAAAATTTTAAAATTAGAATTTTAAACGCAAAATTAAATGTAACTGGCCATTATCTAAATAAAACAAAGAGTGGTCTTAGATCACATTTAAAAAAGAAGTTCAAAAATTTAAAATTAGAATTTGGAATGCATTCGTTAACGCACTGTCACCGCCCCACCCCACGCTCGCATTGCTGACGTCAGAGGCGCGGTTGGCAGGACCTGTACCACCAGTCGTACCAGCGGGTGGGCGTGGTCTTCGCGTCGATCACCAACTACCACGAGTTCTATATGGAGCTGGACGGGAATAACCAGGGCATGGAGTGCCTCAGGCTGCTAAATGAAATCATCGCTGACTTTGATGAGGTAAGGATTTCCTGTAACTCAAATCTTGATATTAAGAGAGAGAAAAAAAAACAGTTATTTTAGGAAAACTTTATATTGGGAAAGAAATTCAAAGAAAATCTCCCTAATCGTAGTTAAAGCTGAGAATTCATCATTATTATTTTAGCCATAGGACGTCTACTGGTGAACATAAGCCTCTCAATGATTTCCATATGGACCTGACATCGGAGAATTGAAATTTTGAAATCTAGGTACCTAATCTATGAAAGGAAAGTGATATTTTCACGTTAAAGAAGATTTTGTTTTGTGTTAATAAAGTTTTTTAACATTATCCGAAAAATTCTTCACTCATTATTTCTTCTTACATAGCGTTAAATTAGGCAGAACTGGCAAATGGATAATGCATTTAAAACATTATTTAAATTTAAAAAACACAATTTTCCCTGCTGTTCTAAACATAAAATCATGTTGCAGCTTCTAGGCGAGGACCGTTTCAGCGCAATCGACAAGATCAAGACGGTTGGGTCGACCTATATGGCCGCAGTAGGCCTCATTCCCGACAAGAAAATGACCGATGAGCCCAGCTCACGCAAGCACATGGCCACGCTCGTGGAGTTTGTGTTCGCTATGCGGGACAAGCTGAAGGATATCAACGATAACTCCTATAACAACTTTATGCTGAGAGTTGGTGAGTGTTTTTTTGATTACTAATGGACGGCAATGTAAATTAAGATGACTCTTACAGTAAATAAACATCACACTACTAAAATGTACCTATTTATGTATTTCAACAGGAATAAACGTCGGCCCAGTCGTCGCTGGAGTAATAGGTGCGCGTAAACCGCAGTACGACATATGGGGCAACACAGTCAATGTGGCCTCCCGAATGGACTCCACCGGCCTTCCTAATCACACGCAAGTGACGGAAGAAGTCTACCAGGCTCTGAAAGACATGCCCTACCAGTTCGTGTGTAGAGGAAAAGTCAAAGTGAAAGGGAAGGGCGAGATGACCACATACTTTTTGACTGACCGAGCGCCCTCCAACGGCAGTGGATCAAACCCTAACAATGGGTCAACTCCGAACCCACCGTCCGCTTACGGAGGAGTAGCGACGCCTTTGGCGATGCTACAGAATTCCGCCAGAAGAGCAGCGGCCCAACCCTCACGGTTGCCGCCCGTCAGAGAAACGTCTGTCGCCGGCGAAAACGAACCGTTACTGCCGTCCAACGGCCACCAAAGTAACGGGAACAACCACAAAGGCAGCAAGGGGAGAAGAAACAAGGACTGTGATGAGACACCACCACCGCCGCCTCCGCATGGCATATCCGCGAATCCAAGATGGCCGCCGCCTCGAGCGCTAGTCCCGCCGTGGCCGCGGCCTCAGGAGCCTCGCCCTCCCGCTGCACACAAAAGGAGGCCTCCAACTAGATTACCCAGGCCTCGATCTAGCGAGAGTTTACCTCTAGCACGTAGCCCTCGCGTACACTCTTCCGCTGACGAATTAAGTTCCCTCACTCGATCTCCTAGTTTAAGTTCATCCGACGAGAGCTACTCCCGAACGACTGACGCGTCTCCATCGCCTCCTCGGCCGACGCAGTGGCTACCCCCGGCGCGGCCGCAACGGCCCAACCCTGCGTACGACTACCCTCCTGTTCGCGCGTCCAAACCGACGCCTAACCACATTAACGAAATATACGCCAAGCACAAACTAAACAAGAAACCCTCGCTCGAAGATAAATTCATGGATGGAAGCCTAAACTTTCAGAAGGAGGAGGAAAAGTTGCAAAGGAGCATAATAAACATGTTGGCGTCTGCGAAACGAGATGGCTGTTGTCAAACTGATAAGAAGGATGTCTCGGGTCGGTTGGGGAACAGAACGAACTCATTTTCTAGTTCTAGCAGCAGACCGAACAATTTGAAGCATTTGAACCACGACAGCAGAGAAGTGTTCACGAAACGAAGCCCAACTGACGTGGCCTGCGTGCCGCCCTTCGAGAGAGAGATCCAAAGGCTGCTTGATGATAAAAATTTAATCAAGAGTAATCCACAGAAAGTGGAGCGGAAGGAATTGAAACTTGAACTTAGGTAAGTTAGTGAATTTTTGTATATTTACCAAATTATTGATGAGTGTTCGCGTTTGAAAGTATACTTTATTTGGAGCTTTTAACAGTAACTGTTTTCACGGGGAAGCTTTTAACTTTTATCTTGTTCAGCATACACTATTCATATTGCTAAAACGCCATAGTTGTATGAGATTGGGGATAAACGTCACATGAATGTTCTGGGCATTCCTTGTGGCAGTATCTTAATATTTTCAACGCCATAGGCTGAACCGTAATAAAAACGATTGATTTCTATTATCTTCATTTAAAGACTTAACTCAATATTCCAGGGGCCAAAACCCAGTCTTGGAGCCGCTCCGTAACTGCAACAACAACAACAGCAGTCCACTCCACGCGGTCGGCCTGGCGGCCATTACGCAGCTAGCGCGCGCAGACGCAGCGAGCCCGGGCCGCGGGTCGCAGCACGCCGCGTCGCCGCTGCGGCCCTCGGCTGAGTTCCCGGGCGTGCTGCCTACAGATGTCGTCGTGGAACTGCCTTCGCCTACGCATTCGCGGGAGAACAACATTAGGTAAGTTGACAACGATCAAATAGGTAACGTACCTTTTGTTACCCCACGGGCCGCGCAGCCCAACTCCCGAAAAAGCAACAACAACAACAGCAGTCCACTCCACGCGGTCGGGCTGGCGACCATTACGCAGCTGGCGCGCGCAGACGCAGCGAGCCCGGGCCGCGGGTCGCAGCACGCCGCGTCGCCGCTGCGGCCCTCGGCTGAGTTCCCTGGGGTGCTGTCTACAGATGTCGTCGTAGAACTGCCTTCGCCTACGCACTCGCGGGAGAACAACATTAGGTAAGTTGACAACGATCAAATAGGTAAAGTTTACCACACGGGTCGCGCAGCCCAACTCCCGAAAAAGCAACAACAACAGCTGCCCACTCCACGTGGTCGGCCTGGCGGCCATTACGCGACTAGCGCGCAGACGCAGCGAGCCCGGGCCGCGGGTCGCAGCACTCGCAGCACGCCGCGTCGCCGCTGCGGCCCTCGGCTGAGTTCCCGGGCGTGCTGCCTACAGATGTCGTCGTGGAACTGCCTTCGCCTACGCACTCCCGGGAGAACAACATTAGGTAAGTTGATATCATCATCATCATCATCTCAGCCATAGGACGTGTACTGCTGAACNGAACATGCCCCCCCCCCCCAATGCTTTCCATGTTGCCCGGTTGGTAGCGGCCTGCGTCCAGCGCCTTCCTGGTACCTTTACGATGTCTTCGGTCCACCTTCATCATCATCATCATCATCATCATTTCAGCCATATTATGACGTCCACTGCTGAACATAGGCCTCCCCCAATGACTTCCATATCGCACTGTTGGTAGCGGCCTGCATCCAGTGTCTTCCGGCTACCTTTATCAGGTCGTCGGTCCACCTTGACGCTGCGTTTTCCGGTACGCGGCCTCCATTCCAGAACCATGCTACCCCATCGGCCGTTAGTTCTGCGTACTATGTGCCCTGCCCATTGCCACTTCAGCTTGCTAATTCGTCGGGCTATGTCAGCGACTTTAGTTCGTTTACGGATCTCCTCACGATTTCAATATTGTAAAGGAGGTAAGTTGATAACGTACCTTATATGAGATGACCAAACTCAAAATTCCCACTAGCTATTTTGCTCACTAAAATAGTGACTCAATTGACTTATCAGTTTCATAGCAACTAAACGAAATATATACCTATTTGATTGAAAACTAATTAGTTGAATTGATTGTCTTAGAACTGTTGGTTTATACTGCCATGCCGTCTACTCTATGAGATGGGGTTCGTCAATGGAAACAGCTTGTTCAATTTTTCCTTCAATTTATTTTGCAGTCCACCATGCGAGCGGAAAGCAGATGCAGCTACGTCTAAAGACAAACACGAAAAAGCAATCCAGGAGAGACTACAAACCCGGGTAAGTTTACTTCGTATCTTATACGTATAGGTACCGTGAGAAGATGGAGACACATTTAATCTACTTTATTATATTTCGACAGGTAACCACTTCTAATCATAGAGAATTGGGTCTCTACGGGGAAAGTCAATCCGAATGGAGTTCGTCTTGTTCCGAGGGCGAGGGGGACGGGGAGGGCGGTCAGCCAGAGAGCACGGGATACACCACCGACGACCCCGCGCTGGAAAACGTATCCATGCTTAACGAGGCCGGACTCACCGACGCGGAAGCCGCTCTGAGTGACGTCAACTCCTGCTACTTCGACCGAGACGATGACGTGTCCTCCCGCGCCTCCTCCCGCCTCCTCGACTCCGAGGCGCTCGTCTCCCTCGAGTCCCTCAGCGCCATCTACGACTCCGACGAGCCCGCGCACAGGTACCTCGCGAACATTCGCACCGTCAGCGAATCCATCACCAGGAACTTCGGACAGCCCGCGCACGTCACCGACGGCGAGAGCGACGTCTAGTGATACTCTGTGATACTCTTGGAACGGAGGAAACTTACCCGCGCACCCGACTCGTTTCCGAACTATTCGTATTCTCGTGTATTGCCTTTCGATTATTTTACGAATATTGTGATAGAAGTAATCTCAAGCGATGAGCGTTACAGATCTAATTCGAATGTAAGTTTTGTATGTTGGACGAAATACTTGGCTCTCTAATTGAAGTACGAATACTCAAAGTAAATCGCGCACGATGATTTGTATGACACGAAAACAAATAGACGATTCTAAATCCGAGACGAGCGACACCTTGATATTCGAAGCGTTCGTCATCATCGCCGATCAACATTGCTGATGTGCCTGTATAATTAATGATTTACTATGTAAATGGTGTCAATATGTACCTATACCTATGTAGTTAAAGTGTATGATATTCATGTACAGCCGACGATGCCATGTGATGGCTCATGCATCATCTAGGGGTATGCGATGATCTCTACAATTATAAGGTGCTCTGAATTAGAATTATTTGTGGTTTGTCTTGTGATAATGGTATAAGGAATTAGCATTCGAGCGACCAATCTCCGTAGAATTCTGTGTTTAGAGTAAGGGCCGGTCCCTGTTCAAGTTGTTCAACTATTTAGATACCCGGAAATGTATTCGAGCAACATCTGGGGCTAAGGCCCACGTGGTTCGGTGTAAGTGACTCTTGCATTTCAATTTAACTTAGTATAAAATATGTTGTTACCATAGACTGGACTATATTGTAACTTAGAAACTGTATTAACTATAGTATGCGTATTCTTATTACAACACGAAATCATTCTTTCACCGCCTTCCCCACATATCAGAATATTTTAACCAGCAAATGCACCTTGGACATACCTACATGTATACTTGCGAGCTCCTCTGTTCATCAGTTAAAAACACACTTTGAGGGCTGACGCACACTTGTCTGTCAGTGAATGCTTCATACATTTTTATGTAATTCAGACGGGACTACTCACCTGTAATTTCATAGAACGTATGAACACGTTGCAATGGCCAAATGTGCGGAAGCTCTTAACTTTTTTCTTTCAAGCTTGAATTCTAGTCACTGTTCTTATAACATGTCAATTGAATTTTTTTCTTGGAATTTATAGATAGATATACGGTCCAAGTAGAGGTGCCATTTAATTAATAATTTTATGTGTCGTTTAAATCAGTTTACTGTGAATGAATATGAATTTAATCAGGTGAGAATTAGGACTTTGATGAAGAAAATCAGTAACTTAATACCTAGTAGTTTAGTTTATTGTAACTGTAGTACAACCATCACGAGAAACCACTACTGAATATTTGTTGTAAAATATTCTTGGTATTTGTGTTATAGAGTAAGAGCTAGTGAACGCCAGACCTACGTCATTTTATAAAAGCTGAAAGTTTGTCAGCGTATGCTCCCAATATAGGATATAATGTTGGTGAATTATGAAGTTTGGGTTACTGAAGTTTGAGTTGGAACTGTCAAAACTGTCTGGCTGTTGGGGAAAATACTGGATGGATGTAAATGGTAAATGGATTCATCGGATTCCGAAGACGATTGTTACGGGAACATAGCACAGAAATAGCAGCGAATGAAAAATAATTACAAGGAGGATACCATAGAAACAACCAACTTGTTGAACGAATCGACGACGGAGCTCGACGAAATCGTGAAGAATGCTGAATTACTTGCTAAAAAGAGAGCCGAAGCCAGTTTGCAGGAAAAGAAGAGGCAAGCAAAGAAGAAGAACAAGATGCGGATTTTCTCGATACTCTAATAGCAACCTCGCCGAAAAGAATGACGCGATCTGCCGCGGAAAGGGCTAGTTCTGACACCAATTCGAGTGAAGGTACCGCTCCTAAAAGGGTAACAGAAGAAAAAGAGGCGGGAAAGCGTCCCAAATCGACACCAACACTGACACAACCCAGGATACCGTTCAAAATGTAGTTGAAACGTCAAATGTACAAAATACCACACAGTCTGTTCAAATTCTACCTCAAACTCAACAAAATACTCCTAGAACTAGAGGTAGAGGTCGTGGTAAGAGTAGAGGTAGTAACTCGAGAGGTATAATACACGTACCTAGCTTTTGGGGAATTGCTACATACAGCGTTGGAAACACAGATGAGTACCCAGACCAGTCACATTGCCAACGAATATTTAGTTCAAAGCCTGCCAAAAAAGCCAAAGATTTAATGGTATAACGTTAGTAGAATTACAGTCTATTGAATATACAGAAAAAGCCACCGTAAAAGTAAGACTTACGTTATACCATAAAATCTGTTTTTTTTTAATGTTTAATATTTGGGCAATATTTAGAAGTATTTTCCCAACATCCAGACAGTTTTGGCAGTTCCAACTCCTTGCCAGACAGTTTTTTTTAGGGTAGCTCCCAAAGCCACGATGACCCAAACTTCATAATTCACCAACATTATAACCTATATTGGGAGCTCACGCTGACAAACTTTCAGCTTTTATAAAATGACGTAGGTCTGGCGTTCACTAGCTCTTAGTCAATTAATTTCTGTCATTTACATTAACGTAAGTTTTTTGTCAATTTCATGTAATGAATGTTGTTTTAGTATTAAGCTGTAATCGGTTGGTATATGTATTATCTTGTTTTAGGCGCTTTAAGCCATTGTAACTTAATCATGCAGCATTACTTGACATACTGAGCACGTACTTAAACGAGTTTAGTGGCAGATTCGATGGAAGCGGACCTCTCCGCAAGATGGCTGGTTGCGGAACACTGATTAATTATACTTATTATTTTATATTGTTTGTTGCCTCTCATGTTTTAGTTCTATGTTCAATGTTGTGAAATTCATGCTATACGCTTATGAGTTGAACCTTACTGGTATTTTTGATTGTGTACCCATAAAGCGTCGGGTCTAAATAACGTAACGTTGTATCCATTTTGTTAAAAGGATCCCTAAAACGTAAAAAGCTGGCGATAAGGCGATTGTACATAGCAGGAGCGAGCAGCTCCAATGAAGTGAGATCTAGAGAATTGTTAACTGTAAATATTGTTAGTAATCTAAAGTGCTATTCCACTTAAATTAATACATAAACTTATAATGCTGTGAAGAGAAGGTATTTTTTGAAGAAATCCTCTTGTTTGCTATTTCTATTTCTTGTATTTCGACTCAACGTGTTTCTTGTTAACGTATTTACACATAGTGCCAAACTATTTTATGCATACGCTTTAGCCAATTTCCTTTCTTTTATTTTATGTGCTAGATACTTTCATGAGTTTTCATTTACAGAGGTTTCACTATTGAATATATTACTCTGGCATTTTTCGAATTAACAAAATAGATCTGAGGGTTAGAGTAAATCTTGTAGAAGCGTAGAGGTATTTAAACATGAAATTGTCAACTGTTTAAATGTACTCAATGCAGAGTTTATAATATTTTTAATTACAACTCAATGTATGAACAATATTTACTATCAAAATATTTACAAACTTTAGAGCTTAAACATGAGGATAAAACGTTTAAAGTTTTATGAAATTAAATCCAAGTCAGTTTCAAATTTATAAAATACTAAATTAATATTATAACGAACTAATATCGAAAAATACATATAGAAGATAATCTTCAATAATATATTAGTGTAAATGTCAACAGACAGATAAGCTAAATACAACGTAATAGCAAACATGTAATGTACAATTATTTTTGTAGGATCTTCAATTGCGCCTTGTGTAGGAAATGTATTGTGTATTTTATTTATTTCAATTCAATTAAGCAATATTAATTACTTACAAAATAAAAAGTGGTTTACATGACTGAGGTTTTTTATTTAATTTTAATGCATCGGTGGTGGTCTGGTGGTGGTGGTCGGTAAAATTACAAAAATACAAAATACTGCAAAAACTTCAAATTGAAAATTCAAATTGTATTCAAACTTCGGCTTTTTTGTGAGGATAAGGTAAACTATAGTTTTTGGAAATGTAACCATACGTGAGTCAAGTTTGCTCTGAGTAACACCTAATACTTAGTTACATTAGGCACATCGCTTAAGTCTGCAGGTCAGGCGCGGGCGGCGAGTTGCCCGTCTTCCGCATACTAATGCCCTTCGCCTTGAAACGATAGTACCAAGTTACTTGACTACGAAATTACGGATGTCATGTAACGATCACTTCACCACGTGGCTTTTAACAGTTGCCGTTGTTTTAAAATTTACCGGTACTTACCTATCTACAGCATTTTCCTAAAATTATTTTTTGTTTTAAAATCTTCTTTCATTGATTGTACTTAATTTTGACACACTGAATTTAAAGATACTTTGACACCAAATTGCAATAAAATATGAAGTGCCAAATTATGCAAACATGTAAGTAAATGCATAGAGCTGTAATTTGGTAAAATTACATTTAATAAACTGTATTTGGCTTACATGACGTCATAATATGATATCAATATGAGTAAAGTAAAGGTAAATAAAAACAGTAAATATTTCCATCTGTTAGTCAAAGTTCACAGGAACTGTATTGACTAAAGTTACCTATCAAAGTATTGTTAAAGTGGTTAGTCCAGTACGTGTTGCGTGACTAATGATTAGCGCAAATGCTAAAATAGCTCATAATGGACATTGTTTGAAGTCGCAGTCCGACATTTCATAAATATTATGCTAAAATATAACCTTTTTACTTTGAAGTGTGTATTTTTTGATTTAAGATTTTTTTTAAATTTGTGTTAATTGACAGTTAACTGGCCATTAAATAAAATGTTTTAGTTATTAGGCACTTACTCAATGATAATTGAAATACAAAATGGAATGTAAAAAATAAATTACAATTATTACTATTACAATTAATGTTTATTATTACTTACTTAAACAAATGTACAACCATCGATACAATAAATGATTTCTAAAAGGCGTTTGATGCATTAAATGTTGGTGGTATGTACATAGTTACCCAAGGTATCAACATTCAAACGTTGGCATGGTAATATTGATCAAGCGCAGTGGAGCGCCCATAATATTATGAACCCAATAACGGAGATCTTCCTCAAGTTGTTCATGGGATGACATCAGCAATAAATCATATACAATTAGGTGTCGACGGTGATTATAACGCATAGCCGTGTGCTTTGCGCACAACAGCGCATTCCGATACACAATCTGCGTTGGACGTTAATTTCGTGAAAGGCATTGCAGTAGTGGTTTGATCATAAGTTCTCGCAACTCATGAGTCAGTTGAGCCGTAATCAGGGGCAGTTTCATTCAAAATATCGTGGAGTGGAGTGGTTGGTATGCGAGCGAAGTACAAACCGAACCGAAGGCAGGTATGACGCGGCGCGCGCGGGCTCCGCAGGCCGCACAGCTGCCCGCTGCGACGCCGCAGCCGATTGGCCGCTGGCGGGAACCGGTCGCGCTCCCCGCGCCCTCGCCCCGCCGCTACAAACAACTTCAAATTCTTATTCATGTTCCTTGCCACGACCGTTGCTGCCGCTGACAGCGCGCGCTTTGTGCCTATATTTCGCGTAATCTTATCGTAATGTGCTAGATGTTGAACGCGATTTGTGAAAATTGTGTGAGAATTCTACAATAAAGTGCTAAACGGATCCTGCCATACCTTGGGACGTTCCGTCTGCGATATGAAAACACACGGACGATCGAGTGGTTTTGTCCTTCTTGTTTCACCGGTGGTTCGTGAGCGGATCCGACGCAGGGTTACCTTTGCCATGTGCATCAGATAGTGTTGTGCTCGTATTAGTTTGTCGACAAACTAATATGCAAGCTAGTGGATACTGTGGCGCTTGTTGAGCCGAGGCGTGGTGTGGTGATTCATAGTGTTGTGCTGACATGAAGGTGACGGTGTGCTTTGGTTCTGTGCGAGTGCTGGTGCCCTGTGGCGCCGGCGACCTGCTGGTCCGGGACCTCGTGAGGGAAGCGACTCTCCGCTACAAAAAAGCTACTGGACAGGTCTGTAACTTATCTCTTAGAAACTGCCATAGACCCAAGATTCATTAGACAGTTATTTTCGCGCGGTTTCCGCGAGTTTTCATTGGCTGCTCTGATGTTTATGTTTATTCATACTTGAGTAATTGCGAATACTTACTAGATTTACATCATTCTATTGATAAACGATAACGATAGACGATTAATACCAATTTTATGTACAAATTGATACATAGGCACTTAGTTATGTTAAAGTTTGCGCTTACCCAAGAATTTTATGAAAGCCGTTATATTTGCTACAATTTTTAATTAACAGAGGCTATAAATTTAGCTTAGAGTGTAGGTACCTACCTATTTACCTAATAAAAAAATATTGAGCAAAACAGTATTATCACCGTTTTAACTTAAATATACTGTTTTGTCTGTTTCATCATAATGTAACAATAATATATCTACATTTGGCAAAAAGTGATAAAGCATAAAATTACGTGTCAAGTAAATGGGCGTCATAGCACTTTTTTGAGTAAGGGGGTATTATCAGCTCTAACCAGGTAAGTAAATAAATCATGTTGAGATAACAAATAAAAATCAAAACAATGTCTTCAATAGTGCCTCTTTCAAAAAAGGTAAGTTCTATTCTTCAGCCACGTTATCTTTTGTCTTAAAAATGCAGTACGTAAAGTTGACTGGTCTTTTGTATAGTATTGTTAGCTATCTTTGCGATTCATTTGTGTACCAATGCCGTGGAAATACTAACTTAGATTTTAACGTAGCTAATTCTGGATTACGATCCTCTTTAATATACTAGAAGGTAAATAGAAGATTTTGTCTACACTCCTTGCGCTAGTCAAAAGGTTTAGTCGGTTCGCCTCTGGTAAATTAAGGAAGGTCAAACTCCTGCAGTGGAGCTCAATTTAACTGATGATGATGCTTACCTGATTAATCATTTGATTCTTTTTGGGATCGCAACTATAAAATTATATCTAAATCGCGTGTTGGGTATCTTTTCCTCATGTTAGGAAATCTGGAATTAGTATTTTCCGCACAATTTTTTATCAGATTGGAAACCTGACACGTTCTAGTTTCTAGTCGATCCACAAGCCTATCTCTTCAAATTTGCGCTATGGCTAGAGCATCTCCATATCTCCATGGTCTGTTTTGCAACTCTTAACCTAGGTATAGATATATTGTTTTTGCGCTAATGATCGTTGGTTATGGAATGCACGATTCTAAGCAAGAACCACTTTCGCGTGGATGTAGAATGGACGACATTAGCGGTGCCTAGATAGACGATGCGGTCAAACTAGATTGTAGAATCATGCATTTGAAGTCGTTGAATTTCATAATGCTGATGGCACACTTTTGGCAACTCGACGCCTCATAAGTAAGTTACTGGGTATATGAAACGGTCGGACAGCCTGATTTTATTCAAGTTTGACCTACGTTTTAGAAAATAAGCACTAAAAAGGATAAATCCACCTACAGCTTGTTTGTACATATTCGTAGCGGTTCTGACGGGTTCTATATTGGCTCACATAAAATTCTAAATCCTATTCTTTGTCTTACTACCGATTTGTGTTCATAATAATCTCTCTTCATAATTTTATTTTTCATACTTTTTTTATTCATACATTTTTATTACTACCATCGGAGCTCATAACAGTTAGTAATCATAATTTTTTTTATCAATACTGTTACTACCAAGAACCATTTAATATACATAATTTTTATTTTCAGATCTTTTTTCTTCATAACATTCATTGATCATATTGTTTTAATTAATAATGTTGTTACTAAGAACATACTTCAACTCATAATGTTGTTGTTCAGAATAATTTACTTTATAACAGACATACTCGTATCTTTAAAAAAATCATATATAATTTAATAGAGTAGATAAGCATGCAGAGCATGCAGCATGAAAGCAAGCATGCAGCATGCATTGGTATCTCCTCGTCTCCGGCGCTGCGGGATGTGCAGCCCTTCCGCCCTTGCGTAACGAGGCTCAGGCACCCACGCTTGCTTCCGCAGCTTCGGCTTTTTGGATCGCCATCGGCGCCTTCGGCGCCTCGGCGACCAGCCTCAGCCGCTCCAGCTCACCCGGGCGCCTGAGCCTCGTTACAGCGGGCGAGGGCTGCCCTCCCTCCGCGCCTCCGGCTTTTAAATTACACTCTAGGGGTAGGGCAGACAAGACTACGTGGAGTCGGTTTTGCAGCGATTCGTTTCTGTCACGTTAGTTTTGTGGCACAAAATAATATTGCCTGTTTTGGACCATTTCAAATTAATTTAATGTTAAAATACGATTTAATACGAATATAGACATCATGATTTTCAATAATATGGATAAATACACTTATGAGTAATAAATTTATGAAAACAAATATTAGGATACATCACATTTATGAATATTATAGTTATTTATTCGAATGATTATGAGTTTCGATCATTAGTATAGAAAAATATATGAAAACAAATATTAGTAAAAACTAAGTGTATGATTAGTGATATTATGAATATCAATGATTATGTTTTTAAATATGTAGGTTTTAAATTTTTTATGAAGAATGATCATTATGGTATCAAATTGTATGAGAAATATTTTCGGACCTCCAATGATAGGAATTGAAAAGTTATGTAAGAAAACGCGCTACCGTTCTGACGTTTCTACTCCGCCAACATTTCGCAGTGACTGACTATGATTAATACTTCCAAAAACCTCACGTAACCTTGGATGTATTTCATGGGTGTTGTTTTGAATTTTTATAGTTTGTTTGTTTTAATTTGCAAGTTCTTAGATTAAGTAATTTGCTTTGTTTATAAGCAATTTATTCACAGTTAC